AAGTTTTAAAGGGTTTTAGAAGTTTACAAAGGTTTTTGAAGGGTTTACAAAAGTTTTTAAAGGTATTACAAGTTCTTTAAAATGGGTTTTAAGGATTTACAAGGGTTTTTAACGGGTTTTAGAAGTTTACAAAAGTTTTTATTAAATGATTTATCACGGTTATAAGTGGTTTAAAGGGATTTACAAGTGTTTATAAATGTTATAAAATGATTTACAATGGTTTTAAAAGGTTTACTCAAGTTTTGAAAGGTTTTGAATGACTTTTAAAAGATTTACATGGGTTTTTAAAGGATTTTTTAAGGGATTTATAAATATTTACAAGGTTTTTTTAAGAAACTGCGGAAAAATTTTGGCGGAAAAATTTTTGTCGGAAAATTTTTGGCGGGAAATTTTTTTTTGGCGGGAATTTTTTTGCCGAAATATTTTTGGCGGAAAATTTTTGTCGAAAATTTTTGGCAGGAAAATTTTCTGAAGGAATATTCTTTTTGTTGGAAAAAATATTCCTTTTTCATCATGGGTTATAATAAAGGAGGGTAATTTAGTCATTTTGTACATTGAAGAGAGTATTTTTGAAAATGAACACCTAGAGAGGGTATTTGTAGAAAAGGGTATCATAATAAAGGTTAGTTGTGCAAATCTCCCTATTTGAAAAGGGATATTTTTAAAATAGATAGAAAATTGGTGTATTTTTAAAAAGGGTAAACCAAAAGGAGTATTTCTCAAAAATTATCTTTCAGCTATTAACCTAATTTTTGGTTTTGCCAGTTGTAGGTTTTACAATTATAAGGGTTATATGTTGAGTTTATAAATCTACTTTATAGTTTAGATTTTATAATTAAACGAGATTATTTATCGGTTTGGGTTTATTAAAGAGGAGTGAGATTTAGGTTTTACAATTAAACAAGGTTATTTATCAGTTTGGGTTCATAAAGGAGAATTAGGATTTACAGTTTACAAATAAATTAGATTTTGAGTTTAACTAAATACATAATTTTATTCATGATTTTTATTTTATAATATGTTATATTTGTTTAATTTTAATTTATGTATGAATGTATTATGCCATTGAGCAATTTCATTGTCTAAAATATAAGGGTGAATAAAAAAATTTCAAAAATAATATTTTTAGCTTAAATTAAAGATAACAAAGTTCAATATAAATCGTAATATAGTAATTTGAAAATTATTTTAAAGAAAATATGTAGTTTTTTATAATTCGTATTTGAAAGTTTTTTTAATTTTTCTTCAACGATGCTATAATTTATTTTAGAATATTTATGTTTATTTGCGTTGTTTATATGAATTTATTTACAAATGACTATATTTGTATTTAACATCATATTTTAGATTGATGTTAATTTGAAAGAATTTTACCATCACATTAATAATAATTAATTAATTTTCATAGTCTGAGAATGATTTTTTTGAAATTTTAAAGTTAAGAAATAAATGTTTTTACAAAATGGTATAATCATGTTTTAGAGAATAATTGCTAAATTAAGATTTTTAAAAATAATTTAGCAATATTATGAGTAATGGTGAATAGCTCCCAAATATAACATCTATAAATTAATACTCGATAAATTAATATTCTCTATAAATTACTAAATTTCTCTGGTCCCAACTCGGACCAGTGTAATTTTAATCACATTTTGATAAAATAATAAGATAATAATTTTTTTGAAAATCCTTTGTAAATATGTAGTCCCATCAATATTATAAATTAATAATTAGGTAAAAATTTCAAAATATGTATATATAGACACTTTAGTTTTTGTTAGATTTTATTTTTAAATGTTTTTGGAAAAACTTTCCAAATTAGGAAAATCTCTCTATAATATTAATTTATTGATAAATTAAAACCTCTATAAATTAATAGGATTTTATGGTCCCAATATTATTAATTTATAGAGGTTTTACTGTAGCTCCCAAATTTTTTTGTGATTGTCAATTTGAGATTACTAGATTTTTATAATTAACGTTTAGTAAGGAATTTTAAGACCAATTACTAGATCATTACTAGATTTTTACACACGTTTATTTGATACTTCAAACCAACTAAATCTCTTACCAAATGAAATTAATTTCTCTTATTTAAAAAAAAAAAATTTGGAAATTATTTTTTATGAGTTATAATAAAATTTAATTTTAATTTAATTTTAAATATAGATAACCCGTCAATCGGACGGGTACTAAACTAGTATATGTATAAAACAGAGATGAGGGTGATACTATAATCCCTAAAATCTTATATTAAACTTCAAAACATAACATAATACCTAGCTCTTGTTTGTTTAATAAATATTTCAAATTATAGATTCCACATTACGTTTTTTTACACTTTACACATTAGACTTCAAATGAAATTTTTTACTAAATAAAATGTTAAATACTAAGAAAAATAAAATTTAAAACTATATCTTTCGTTTTTCATACAAAGAATAAATATCTTACTTACAAAGTTTGGAAGATATTCAGACTACTTTTTTTATGATGATTTCATTATTGCAATTAATTATTTTTATTATTTATTGAATGGTATATGATATATTCCCTCCGTTCCATTTTATTAGATTTTTAAGTTAAAAGCACAATATTCAAATTTTTACATAAAACATTTTTTTTTTTAAACTAACCAATAGAAAGAGGGACTCAAGAATACAAATAGTCATAACATACTAAATAAACATTAATAATGCATAAAAATCTGGAAAAAATTCTTATAAAATGGAACAAAATTAATCGGCTTAAAAATCTTATAATTTGGAACGGAAGGAGTATAATTAAGTAGACAAAACAATGATTTCAAAAAATCTAAGACGGGTATTTTGTTTTTTTTGTGCTAATTTTGGGGATCGGAATTTTTCTTTTTCATCCATAATGATAACTAATTGTTATTTTATAAAATAAGGACCTAGGTCTTTTTAATTATATCTAATACATTTTTAAAATAGGGGACCATTTTGTTAAATTTTCCTAGAAAATATTTTTTAAAAATTAGAGGTCCAATACTTATGTATCATAAGAATGTGTGAAGGTTCGGAGCTGGCGACATGTTAAGAAGTTGAGGACTGTCACATAATATGTGTTATGATAATTGTCGTTGCTCAGAATGTGTGTTATGCAACAGCCACGATTGATCAAGTGCAACTTTAGCTCCGAAATATGGTTGTTCTTCACTTCTAGGCTCCGGCCGCATTTATGGGATGTCTCCTTTGGTCAAGGTCTCCTTCACGAGAAAAAACCTCTACTCTTCATCAAAACTTATCCATCAAGCCTTAATCTATTTTATTTGGAAAGAGTGCAATCTTCGCACGACTTCCTCCTTAACTTTGGCTGTCATCATCAAGTGGATCAAATTGAGCAGTAGAGGTCGTCTTGACCCTCTGTCTCGGGTACAAGGAGATTCTCCTCATTCTTGTTCCTTCCTATCATTTTGGTTTCAAGTTTTTTGAGGTGGATGAAAGTGTTTATGTTGTTGCACTAGCTTGTATGTTGCCAACATGTTGTATTTTTTTGTGGCATGATTAGGTTTGTGGCCGTCAAAGACCTTTTGGCTTTGTATTTTTTTTTTTTAGTATCTACTTTTGGAAATTAAATTTTTTAAAAATATTGATAATTTATTAAAAAGCTTCATTTTTTTTTTGGAAAAAACTATTTTTAAAATAAGAAATGTTTATTATAATCCACATATTTTTGGAAAACGTAATAAGACAACTCAATAAGACAACACTAAAAATATTTGATAGAGTAAAAAATATCATAGATAGTTCTAACAAAAATAAAAGTTCAAGAAGAAACAGATAATACTAGAGTCATATTTTACTAAATTCTGAATGTATATTTTATTAATAAAGTAATATAGTTATTAATTTAAAATGTTGATGAAATTATATAAAATAAGATCTTTTAAAAACTATTATTTTATTATCTTATTGAGTTGTGTTAGTTATTACTAATTTCATTGGAAAAATTTACTAACTTTCTTTTTTGGTCATAGCTGAAATTTAATTTATAAAATTTTTAGTGTATTTAACTCAGCTAAACAGAACTTGATTAAACGATAGATTATTCTTTAAACACAAAAACGATGATATAGCGCATAGTGTGTACTCTGCATGTCCTGCATAAAATGTATCAAGAAGTTAATTAAAACGAGTCGACTTAGCTTAATTCAAGGAAGCATAACACAAGGACTGAGTCAATTTCTCGAAAAGCTTAAAATAAAAACCACAGATCTTAAAACTCGCCTTTGTATATTCTTCCTCCATTTAATTTGCGATTCTTCTGCTCTTCTTAGTTTTCTCTCCCACATTATTTTCCCTAAAGAAAACATTAGTATTAATCAAAAAGAAAAATAGCTAGAGACATTGAAGCTGGAGAATAGAAATGGAGAGTTACCTCAACTCAAATTTCGACGTTAAGGCGAAGCATTCGTCTGAGGAAGTGCTCGAAAAATGGCGGAATCTTTGCAGTGTCGTCAAGAACCCGAAACGTCGGTTTCGCTTTACTGCCAATCTCTCCAAGCGTTACGAGGCTGCTGCCATGCGTCGTACCAACCAGGTCCATCTTCTTTTGCCTTCTTTTATGTGTTGGAGCCATTCCAAGGTGTCCAAAATTGGCATTGTATAGCTTTTAGTTAGTTTTTAAAGCTATGTATTTAGCTTGTTAGATGATGTTTTTATAAAGGTTTTCACTATGTTGATCATTTATAAATTTTTAAGTACTCCTAATTCTTTTTCAAGGTAAAAATGAATAGTAAATTTCATTTACTGACCTTTTATATATAAATGTATATAATTTTCTTTTTAAATTCGTTTTAGTATGAAATGTTTTTATTTAAATTTGAATTGATATTATATGAATCATAATTTACCATCTGACTTGAGATTTGGTTTATAGATTTCTCTGTTTATGGAAATCATTTTATTTTCCCTATTTGAAAATTTGCTATATACAGGAGAAACTAAGGATTGCAGTTCTTGTGTCAAAAGCAGCATTCCAGTTTATCTCTGGTGAGTTTATTAATCTAAGACATAAGAAATTTTATAGTGTTTGCATTTCTTGAAAACGTGTTCTGTCTTGATTTTGATTTTTTTTCTTCTTCTCAGGTGTTTCTCCAAGTGACTACAAGGTGCCTGAAGAAGTTAAAGCTGCAGGGTTTGACATTTGTGCGGAAGAGTTAGGATCAATAGTAGAAGGTCACGACGTGAAGAAGCTTAAGTTCCACGGTGGAGTTGATGGTCTTTCAGGTAAGCTTAAGGCATGTCCTAATGCTGGTCTCTCAACAGGTGAATCTGACCAGTTAAGCAAACGACAAGAGCTTTTTGGAATCAATAAGTTTGCAGAGAGTGAATTGAGGAGTTTTTGGGTGTTTGTTTGGGAAGCACTTCAAGATATGACTCTTATGATTCTAGGAGTTTGCGCTTTCGTGTCTTTGATAGTTGGAATAGCAACTGAAGGATGGCCTCAAGGCTCACATGATGGTCTTGGCATTGTTGCTAGTATCCTTTTGGTTGTGTTTGTGACAGCAACAAGTGATTATAGACAGTCTTTGCAGTTCCGGGACTTGGATAAAGAGAAGAAGAAGATTACAGTTCAAGTTACGCGAAACGGGTTTAGACAGAAGTTGTCTATATATGATTTGCTCCCTGGTGACATTGTTCATCTTGCTATTGGAGATCAAGTTCCCGCGGATGGTCTTTTCCTCTCGGGATTCTCTGTTGTTATCGACGAATCGAGTTTGACTGGTGAGAGTGAGCCTGTGATGGTTAGTGCACAGAACCCTTTCCTTCTCTCTGGAACCAAAGTTCAAGATGGTTCATGTAAGATGCTGGTTACAACAGTTGGGATGAGAACTCAATGGGGAAAGCTAATGGCAACTCTAAGTGAAGGAGGCGATGATGAAACTCCGTTGCAGGTGAAACTTAATGGAGTTGCAACCATCATTGGTAAAATCGGTCTTTTCTTCGCTATTGTTACCTTTGCGGTTTTGGTGCAAGGAATGTTTATGAGGAAGGTTTCTTTGGGCACTCACTGGAGGTGGTCTGGAGATGAAGCATTGGAGCTTTTGGAATATTTTGCTATTGCTGTGACAATTGTTGTTGTTGCCGTTCCTGAAGGTTTACCATTAGCTGTCACACTTAGTCTCGCGTTTGCGATGAAGAAGATGATGAACGATAAAGCACTTGTTCGCCATTTGGCTGCTTGTGAGACAATGGGATCTGCAACTACTATCTGCAGTGACAAGACTGGTACATTAACAACAAATCACATGACTGTTGTGAAATCTTGCATTTGTATGAATGTTCAAGATGTAGCAAGCAAAGGTTCTAGCTTACAGTCTGAAATTCCTGAAGCTGCTCTAAAACTATTGCTCCAGTCTATTTTTAATAATACCGGAGGCGAAGTTGTAGTGAACGAACATGGGAAGACAGAGATATTGGGAACACCAACAGAGACTGCTATATTGGAGTTAGGACTATCTCTTGGAGGTAAGTTTCAAGAAGAGAGACAATCTTACAAAGTTATCAAAGTTGAACCTTTTAACTCAACAAAGAAAAGAATGGGAGTAGTCATTGAGCTGCCTGAAGGAGGACGTATTCGCGCTCACACGAAAGGAGCTTCTGAGATTGTTTTAGCAGCTTGCGATAAAGTTATCAACTCAAGCGGTGAGGCTGTTCCGCTTGATGAAGAAACAATCAAGTACTTGAATGTTACAATAAACGACTTTGCAAATGAGGCTCTTCGTACTCTTTGCCTTGCCTATATGGATATCGAAAACGGGTTTTCCGCGGATGAAGGCATTCCAGCCTCAGGGTTTACTTGCATAGGAATTGTTGGTATCAAAGACCCTGTTCGTCCTGGAGTCAGAGAGTCTGTGGAACTTTGTCGCCGTGCGGGTATTATGGTGAGAATGGTTACAGGAGATAACATTAATACCGCAAAAGCTATTGCTAGGGAATGTGGAATCCTTACTGATGATGGTATAGCCATTGAAGGTCCTGTGTTTAGAGAAAAGAGTCAAGAAGAGATGCTTGAACTCATTCCCAAGATTCAGGTAACAGTTTCTTGATTTAGACTTAATGCTACTTCATATATTCTTGCTATGACTTTAACAAGATCTTTTTTTCTTTCTTACCAGGTGATGGCTCGTTCTTCTCCCATGGACAAGCATACACTCGTGAAGCAGTTAAGAACCACTTTTGATGAAGTTGTTGCTGTGACTGGTGATGGTACAAACGATGCACCTGCGCTACACGAGGCAGATATAGGATTAGCTATGGGGATTGCTGGAACTGAAGTAAGTATGATATGTCGACTAATGTTAACTATTATGAAAACGACTCAAATCATTTTCTTAAAACTGTTTTAGGTAGCAAAAGAGAGCGCGGATGTTATCATTCTCGACGATAATTTCAGCACGATCGTTACCGTGGCGAAGTGGGGACGTTCTGTTTACATTAACATTCAGAAATTTGTGCAGTTTCAGTTAACAGTCAATGTTGTTGCCCTAATTGTTAACTTTTCTTCAGCTTGCTTGACTGGTACGTTAAAGGAATTGGCTGATTCAGTTTTATTCAAACTGTAACTTTTACTATTCCATCTTTACTTTGTTTCTGCATTTTATTCACAGGAAGTGCTCCTCTAACTGCTGTTCAACTACTTTGGGTGAACATGATAATGGACACACTTGGAGCTCTAGCTCTAGCTACAGAGCCTCCGAACAACGAGCTGATGAAACGTATGCCCGTTGGAAGAAGAGGGAATTTCATTACCAACGCGATGTGGAGAAACATCTTAGGACAATCTGTGTACCAATTCGTTATCATTTGGTTCCTACAGGCCAAAGGGAAGTCTATGTTTGGTCTAGTTGGTTCTGACTCTACTCTTGTATTGAACACACTTATCTTCAACTGCTTTGTCTTCTGCCAGGTAAAAATCAAAAAACTGTACTCAAAACATAGACACATTTTAAGCTTTTTTGGTATGACTATGAGAAATTGTTTGGATTGTTCTAAATGTTACAGGTTTTTAATGAGATAAGCTCGAGGGAGATGGAAGAGATCGATGTTTTCAAAGGCATACTCGACAACTATGTCTTTGTGGTTGTTATTGGTGCAACAGTGTTCTTTCAGATCATAATTATTGAGTTCTTGGGCACATTTGCAAGCACCACACCTCTTACAATAGTCCAATGGTTCTTCAGCATATTTGTCGGCTTCTTGGGCATGCCTATCGCTGCTGGCTTGAAGAAAATAATAGTGTGATCGAAGAAGATACAATGCAGATAACAATGTCTCTCTTATACAACAGAAGTTCCTCTTGGACACCTTTTAAAGCTTTTGCATCTTTTTTTTTTTTTGCAATGTGGTTGTTTGTGTTTTAAAAATATATTGTTTTAGGGTAAAAGTATTAGCTAAATCAAACCCCATTTATTAATTTTGCTTTGTTAGAAAATAAGTTATTTTTGGTTATAAAAAAAAATGTTTTCAAATGTTATTCTCATGCCACCATGTATTCTCATGCCACCATGTATTTCTCATGCCACCATGTATTTCAAATGTTTTCATACAAATGAGAATAAAGACATCATCATGTATTTCCAATTTTCCCAACAATATAAAAAGTAGATGACTAAAATATATGATATTGATTGGAGAATTGAATTCGAAATGGTTGCTCCACACAATATTTAGTCCTATATATGAAAAATCAACGTAGAGCGACTAGTCACCTAATAAGAGGACTCAATCAATCTTTATTAACCAAGGGAGAATGAATTTAAAACTAAAAATTCTTCTTCTGCTTCTGTTTGCCTTGAGTCATCATCATGCTGATTCTGGCTCTATAGTCAAGTTCCTTCCTGGTTTTGAAGGACCTCTTCCTTTCGAACTCGAAACCGGGTTTGTTTAAATACATCTTCTTCTTCTTCTTCTTCTTCTTCTTCTTCTTCTTCTTCTTCTTCTTCTTCTTCTTCTTCTTCTTCTTTTTCAATCAGTGCAACTAAGTAATTAGTTATTCTTCTTCATTAGATACATTGGTATTGGTGAGGAAGAGGAATCTCAACTGTTTTACTATTTCATCAAGTCTGAGAGCAAATCGATCTCTGGCCTTCTCTTTGAGAATGGTAAATCGATCTCTATAGTTTTTGCCTCTTGCTCTAATGGTTATTTTCAAAGTCTTGCTTAAATATGTTAGGACCTCTGGCTTTGAAGTGGGAGGTTTATAATGGAAGTGTCCCTTCTTTGGTCTCTACTACATATTCATGGACAAAGGTAGAAGACACTATATATGTTCATATGTTCAATTATTTTTTCTTAAACAATGATATATCAATTGTTTTGACTATTTTTTTTTTTTCAGATGGCAAACATAATATTCTTGGATCAGCCTGTTGGAACTGGCTTCTCCTACTCAAGAACCCCACTTGATGATAAGCCTAGTAGTGACACAGGCGAAGTTAAGAGGATCCGTGAGTTTCTTCAAAAGGTACAACTAGACAAACTTAATTTATCATCTCGATGCATTTGTCTTTTTGCATTAACGCTTTCGTGTATGCTTTGTCTTACTCTTACAAAAAATTTTAGTTTATAAAACCACACTTTGTTTGACAAAAAAAAAAACGTAATTGTAGTAATAATTTTAAGTGTTTTTTTTTTTTTTTTTTGGTCAAAAAATTTTAAGTGTTTAACATAGCGATTAGTTGAACATTTACTTTCCAGATTAGTCAATCTTGGCATATCTTGAATTTGTATCTACTTTCAATTTTTATTTATTTATATGTTTTTTTGTTGTTGTCAGTGGCTAAAAAAGCATCCACAGTTTTCTTCAAACCCTTTTTATGTTAGCGGAGATTCTTATGCTGGTATGATTGTTCCAGCCCTCGTTCAAGAAATCTCAAAAGGTATACTTTTATTTGGATATGGTTTAACCAATACTCTCTCATACTTTAACAAAATATAGACACTATGATGCAGGAAATTATATATGTTGCGAACCTCCAATAAATATACAGGTAATTGATATCTAACATTAAGGTTAAGTATCTAAAAGTTCTGATCAAATGGTACTCCGTGCACTAGAGATTGATATGTACTGGCAAAATAAAGAGACTAATAGTTACATACATATTCTAACCAAAAACAAATCAGGGTTATGTTCTCGGGTCATATACATATTCTAACCAAGCAGAATTTCTGCTTCTAGAAATTTACCAACACAAAATCTGGCTCAATCGTCATGAATTCAATCAGAGAGACCAATAGATAATAAATTTATTTAATATGATTACACCAAACTACCAAAGTAGTTGTTGTCAGAACCAACACGTGTTTCTAATAATATGTGAATAAAATGACACGTCCATCATAATAATATGGGGTCAACTTTTTTTTTTTGTCATCATAATAATATGGGGTCAAGTCAACTTCAGTGGATAATGTAACGCTATCCAACCACTTATTTTTACTGATTATAAAGATCGTAGCTAAGACGACTCAATCTTTAGAAACAAAAAGAGAGAATGAAACTAACACTAAATTGGCTGCTTCTGCTTCTGTGTGTGTTGAGTCATCATCATCATGTTGATGCTGGCTCTATCGTTAAGTTCCTTCCTGGTTTTGAAGGTCCTCTTCCTTTCGAACTCGAAACCGGGTTTGTAAAATCTCTCTTTTACAACAATGTCTTCTAAGTTTGGAGTTTAGTACATACTTAGTCATTCTTGTGAATGAAGGTACATTGGTATTGGTGAGGAAGAGGAAGTGCAACTGTTTTACTATTTCGTCAAGTCTGAGAACAATCCAAAAGAAGACCCTCTTCTTGTCTGGTTAAGTGGAGGACCTGGAAGTTCTTCTCTCACTGCCCTTGTTTCCGAAATTGGTAAATCTATATCTTTCTTTGTCTCTTGATCTAATGGGTTATTTTCAAAGGCTTCCCTTAAAGTGTGTTAAACAAAAAAAAACAGGACCATTGGTTTTGAAGTCCGAGTTTTACAATGGAACTGTCCCTTCTTTGTTCTCTTCTACATATTCATGGACAAAGGTATATATTTTTTTCATATGTCCATCACAAACCTAATGATGTATTGATATTGATCTTCTTGAATCTTGAATCATTTTTGTAGGTGGCCAATATAATATTCTTGGACCAACCTGTTGGAGCTGGCTTCTCATATTCAAAAACTCCTCTTGGTAAAACTGGTGACACCAACGAAATTCAGATGATCCATGAGTTTCTTCAAAAGGTTATAAGACTGAACCTTTTTTTTTGACAATTTTTTTAAAGCTCTTGTGTGTATGTTGTTAATTCTCTTGTGTTAAATTTTTTTAAAATATTACAGTGGCTACACAAGCATCCACAATACATATCCAACCCATTTTACGCTACCGGAGATTCTTATGCCGGTATGATTGTTCCGGCCGTGGTTGATGCAATCTCGAAAGGTATGTTTTATCTCATATCTTATTATATAAACCTTGGTTTTCAAAGTCAGCTATTAACAAGATCGTGACACGTGTCAATTATAAACGATAAGATATTGACATGTGGCATAACTGATTCTGTTAATATTTGGATAAAATAGAAATATTATTAACCCTATCGAAGAAGGAAATATATAAAATAAATATTATAAAGAATTATATATTAAAAATTATTAATAAAATTAAACAAATAATCAAATTTCAGTTATGTCAATTTGGTTTATTAATAAGATATGGATTTAAAATTTATAATTAACAAGAATATATGGCGGTAGTTGTTTACAGAAGAGGATTAAGGTTTAAACTTTAATTTTACAATTAAATCAGATTATTTGTTGGTTTGGGTATATAAATGATAAATAAGAATTATGGTTTATCTTTATAAACTAAAATTATGGTTAAGTTTAACAATTAAACGAGATTATATGTCAAAACTTGGTTTTTAAATTTACTAACTCACATGATCATGATAAGTGTCAAGTAAAAACATAAGATGTCGCAATATGTTATATCTATTTTTTTTAATATTAAGATACAAAGAGAATTTTTGAGAAATACCCCTTTTGGTGTACCCCTTTTCAAAAATACCTCCTTTATCTATTCATTTTCAAAAATATCCATGTATATATAGACACTTTAGTTTTTGTTAGATTTTGTTTTAAAATGTTTTTGGAAAAACTTTCCAAATTAGGAAAATCTCTCTATATTATTAATTTATCGATAAATTAAAACCTCTATAAATTAATAGATTTTCATGGTCCCAATATTATTAATTTATAGAGGTTTTACTGTAGCTCCCAAGTGTTTTGGTGATTGTCAATTTGACATTACTAGATTTTTATAATTAACGTTTAATAAGGAATTTTAAGATATATATATATACACGTTTACTTGATACTTCAAACCAAATAAATCTCTTACCAAATGAAATTAATTTCTCTTATTTTTTTTTTATAAAAAAATTAGAAATTATTTTTGTATAAGTTATAATAAATTTTAATTTTAATTTAATTTTAAATATAGATAACCCGTCCATCGGACGGGTACTAAACTAGTCAACATATACAATATAGTGTTCTAACAAATATACATACGATGATGCAGGGAATTATATATGTTGCAATCCTCCTATAAACCTCCAGGTCATTGATATTTAATAATTTTATGAATTATGTACATTTTCTCCAACACTTAATTTTTTCTTGCTAAAAACAGGGTTATGTGCTCGGAAACCCGATAACATATGAAGAAATGGAACTAAACTATCGTATTCCCTTTGCTCATGGAATGTCATTAATCTCTGATGAACTCTATGAGGTATGAAACATATGTATGTCAAGCTTTTTTTTTATTACAACCTAAGCTTGCCAACTTAATTTGTAAGCCACAAATGATATATTTTTGTTTCAAACATCGTTTTTACAGTCACTGAAGAGATATTGTAAAGGGAATTATTTCTATGTGGATCCACGAAACACAAAATGTTTGGAAATTGTTGAAGAATACAATAAGGTGCACACATTGGTCTATACTTAATTTGTTTTTTCTGTGGTAATATATATCATCACTAATTAGGTCCTTTTATTGTTTTTTTACAGTTCACTGAAAATATAAATATTCATCAAATATTACTACCAAATTGTGATGACACAAATACAAACAATATATCTCCTGATTGCTTTGTAAGTAATACATATCTTTCCTCCATTTTTTTTTGTTAATCGAAAAAAAAAACGAAGATCGTTAGTACGGTGAAATTATTTTATTTACTATGTTAATTTAATTCTTTTATTGAGACTGTGTATCTTGGTGTATCAATTTTACTCATATAGTTGTAATCTCATCGTTAGTTAAGATGAGAAGAAGTACTATTCGATAATTATTTTGAGTTTTTAACTTACAAAGTTGAATTTTGCAGTATTATAAGTATTATCTTTTTGAACGTTGGGCCAACACAGAGAGCGTTCGCGAAGCTCTTCAAATCAATAAGGTAAAAACATTAAGGACCATTGATCATTGCCATATTATTGAGAAATTTTTTATATCATCTAAATTTGAGACAATCTATGAATATACAGGGGAGCAAAGCAAATTGGGTGCGATATAATCATACAATACCATATGATAAAAACATTAAAAGCAGTATACCATACCATATGAATAACAGCATTAACGGCTACCGATCTCTTATCTTCAGGTAATAACTAAATTTTGACAACCAAAGTATTTTTGGACCGAAATCCATATATCCCCTCACACTCGAGATCCGATACTAGAACATGTATAGTTTTGTCCCAAGCGCTACTTAAACCGAAATTTCTTTATAACCAAAGATCGTATAAATCAATCGTAGACAAGATTGTTCAGTCCTATACATACTTACAAAGTTTTTGTTTGTTATGGTGAACAGTGGTGATCATGATATGGTGTTACCTTCCTTTGCAACTCGAGCATGGATCAAATCTCTCAACTACTCCATCACTCATGACTGGAAGCCTTGGATGATCAACGATCAAATCGCTGGGTACATATTATACATATTCTTTTTTTTGCTAACTTGCATTCATCGATCACGGCGATTCCTATTATACATATTCATTTTCTCGTCGTATCACAAAATTATTAAACTCACGTAAACTATCATTCTTTTGACAGATACACGACAACTTATGCAAATAAAATGACATTTGCTACTATCAAAGCAAGTTTACTTATTTCAACTCTTAACGTTTTTATTTCCATTGCATTTACATTACTAAGTGTTATCTAATTCTTTTGAGCGTTTTGACTATACAGGGATGTGGTCACACGCCAGAGTATCTACCAGAAGAGGCTTCTATAATGTTCAAAAGATGGATCAGTGGCCAGCTCTTGTAATAAAGTTGCGCTATATGCAACTTTTGTAATCGCCCTTTAACTCAAAATTTAAAGACAATATTATTATCTACGACGTATGTGAGGAGAATATAACAGGGCAACTTTTCTACCATATAGGAACCACTGGCCCATCACCATGTGGTTTTATCTTTTTTATTTCAGTTAAGTGTTTCCAACACAATTAATTCAGTGGCAAATAAAAACCATAATTTCGGACATAAGCATTTTTTATTCACAAATAAATTATTGATAATATTTATTGAGAAAATGATAACACAATGCTAAATGACATTTTTCAAAGTTATTTGGACGCAAGGAAAATGAATGGCCTCAAATATTGGTATTTATTATTATTTTGGTCTTTGGACGTGAGGAAAAGGACATTTCAATTACGAAATAACTTATCAAAATACGTGTGAGCAGGATCCGCAGGTTATAAGAAAACATCAACAAATTTAATTAACTTTACAAATTTTTTAAAAAAAAATTAAAAAAAATTGATTATTTTCTCGAAAAATGGTAGATATAACTGTTAGTTAAATTTATGAATTTCTAAATTGTTTTCGTCACTTAAAAGTTAAAAGATGTAAAACACTTATTTTATCCATATTTGGTATATTTCTTTAGGTATCAAAATTATTCAATATACAGAAAATGCGGATAGAGATATAATGGATAATACAGGCTGTATATATCCAAATTTCCTAACAATATATTGAGAGTGAATAAAACAAATGATATTGCTTGGAAAATTGAATTTGAAATGCATGCTCCACATAATATTCGAAATGGTTGCTCCACACAATATATGTATATATCAACGTAGATCAACAAGTTACCTGAGAGAAGTCCTACTTTAGAAACTAAGAGAGAATGAAACTAACACTAAAGTGGCTGCTTATGCTTCTCTTTGTGTTGAGTCATCATCATCATGCTGATTCTAGCTCAATCGTCAAGTTCCTTCCTGGTTTTGAAGGACCTCTTCCTTTCGAACTTGAAACCGGGTTTGTTAAAATGCTTCTTCTTCTTCTTCTTCTTTATTTTTATCATTCTTTTTAATGCAATGTTAAATTATATTCAAAAGAAAAAATAAACGTTTTTACATCAAATGCATTGTTTTTGGACTAAGAAATCGAAAAAAGATTTGAAAAAACTAAGACAAATTAGGTTCTAGATTGAAGCGACATTTGGAAACCCGCTGCGTACCGGTGGTCACCCATTTTCCGAATTGAAGAAAGTTGATCCCGAACTTCTTTATCGATCCTTTTCGTGAGCTGAGGTGGTGGTGTTGGTGCGTCGCCATGTCGCCTACCATTCCGCTCTCTCCAAATTCCATAGACAACAGTTTGGAAAGCATAACGTAGCAGGAAATTAGATGTTTTATCATTTTTATCATTGCAATTAGATGTTTTAAGTTTGGAGTCTCTTTTCATTAGATACATTGGTATTGGTGAGGAAGAGGAAGCTCAACTGTTTTACTATTTCGTCAAGTCTGAGAACAATCCAGAAGAAGACCCTTTGCTTCTCTGGTTAGAAGGAGGACCTGGAGTTTCCTCAATCACTGCCTTTGTTTTAGAGAATGGTAAATATAATCAAAGATCATTTTTGCCATTTGCTCAAAAGATTATATCCAAAGGCTTCCTTAAAGTGGGGTACAAAATATATAGGTCCTGTGGCTTTCAAGTCTGAGGTTTACAATGGAAGTGTCCCTTCTTTGGTCTCTACTACATATTCATGGACAAAGGTAACTGGAATTACATATGTTCGTCACAAACCAAATGTTAGCAATTTGAATTTGGGATCATTTTTTTGTAGGTTGCGAACATTATATACTTGGACCAGCCTATTGGAGCTGGCTTCTCATATTCTAAGACTCCACTTGGTAAAAATAATGATACAAATGCAGTTAACATGATCCATGAGTTTCTTCAAAAGGTTGTTCATTAAAGCTCGCTCTTGTGTGGTATATATGTTGTAATTCTCTTGGTCTTTTGTTCCAACCATGATTAAGGTGTTAATTAATTTATTTAATTTTAACTATTACAGTGGCTAAGCAAGCATCCACAATACTTTTCCAACCCATTTTACGTTACTGGAGCTTCTTATGGTGGTATGATTGTTCCGGCCGTCGTTAACAAAATCTCAAAAGGTATGTTTTTAATATATATATATATATATATACTTTTCTCATAATCCATTGTTAAGTTTAATTTCTCTCACGTTCTTACAAATATAGCAACTTGTGATGCAGGGAATTATATATGTTGCAACCCTCCAATAAATCTACAGGTCATTGATATTTGATAGTTGCTTCTTATATTATGAATATTTTCTCCAACATTTAGAATTTTCTTTTCCAAATTCAGGGTTATGTGCTTGGAAACCCGGTAACATATTATGAAACGAAATAAACTATCGTATTCCATTTGCTCATGGTATGTCCTTAATCTCTGATGAACTCTACGAGGTATGATATATTGTTACTAGAGATATAGCATTGGAACCGGATCTAAACCTCAAATGATATAGCAATGTTCCAAACATTATTCTTACAGTCACTGAAGAGATTTTGCAAAGGAAGTTATTTCAATGTGGATCCAAGCAACACAAAATGTTTGAAACTTGTTGAAGAATACTATAAGGTACACATTTTGAAATTTAGCCGATGCTTCTTTTCTCGTGGTATGAAATATCATCACTCATTCATGTTCTACATTGGTTTTTTTTTTGTAGTGCACTGAAAACGTGAATACCCATCAAATATTAGTGCCAAATTGTGATAACACAAATACAGAAAATATATCTCCTGATTGCATTGTAAGTAATACATATATATTTGGTTAATTGAAAGCTAACCAAAGTCCTAAAGTATATCTTATAAATTGTAAACATTCACGAAGTTGTTTTTGCAGTATTATGTGTATCATCTTCTTGAACGATGGTCCAACAAAGATAGCGTTCGCAAAGCTCTTCATATCCATAAGGTATTTGCACTCTTAATTAAAAGATCATTGATAAATTGCCACATTATTAAAGAAAAGTTTATATAATCTAGATTTGAGACAATCTTCGAATACAGGGGACCAAAGGAGAATGGGTTCGATTTAATCATTCAGTACCATATGAAAGAACCATTAAAAGCAGTATACCATACCATATGAGTAACAGTATTAATGGCTACCGGTCTCTTATCTTCACGTAATAACCTAAATCTATACTTCCCCCCAATTGGCTCTTTTGATTTAATCTAAATATATTGTTGACAAAAAAAAAACTAAATCTATACTTTTCGAGTGAGTAACATATTTACTATAGATATCAACATCCGGACTATATAAGACTCGCATAAAACCATAAAAACTCAGTTAAGCCTGACAAACCAGTGATTAAACATGCGGATCATGTCGAAAATCAAGTCGATAAAATCGTAAAACTTGTAAATGAATCACACAAACTTGAACACATAATGAATTTATAATATTTGATTACTTGATGACAATATTCAGATTTTACCGTTAACGGCTACCAGTCTCGCATATTCATGTTGTAATTGAGAATGTTTTAAACCATGAACTTTCTCTAAGGCGAATAAAAATATCAAGTATTATTGACTATCATTTTCAACAACAAATATTGTTGAGGAAGCCAAAAAAGACATGTCGATAAATCTGATAACGGAGTAATTGACACACATTAACTCTGCCGTTACCCAATTCGTTATCGAAAAATGATATCGCCATTTAAACCATCAACTTTTCTGAATGCTATTTAAAACAACAAATTATGTTAACTATCCTTTTTAATACACCAAATATCATTGACAAAGTAAATACAGCAATTTCGTAAAATCTAATAATTTTTTTAATATTTGTAAATTTAAAATTTTATGATAGAATAATTTTTAAAAATAATTTAAATGGCATTTTTGAGTGAGTTTGTGATTTAAATAATATTTTTCCACTTCTCGAATGAGAAAATAACAATATTTTCAAAATATTTAGGAGTATTAATATCAAACTGGACCAGACGGTTGAATCGATTGAATCGAAATCTAGAAACTATCCGTACTATACATAATTACGATAAAACTAGGCGAACCAGTGATTTAACAGGCGTGTTGGATCAAACCCAAATGTTGAAACGTAAACTTTTAAGATTAATTTTGAATTAGTGATATAGCTTTTTATATTTGTAAGTGAAAAACACAGAAACTTGAAAACTTAATTTATTTATAAGAACATTTGATAGCTTGATAAGAATATATTATTATAGGTTTACTTATTTTTTTATATTTTTTAATACTAGTAAAGTCATAACTAAAGCACAAAAAGTGAATCTCTTTGTTCACTTTTTAATTTTATTACTCCAACCAATAAAAATAAATAATAAAATAAATTCTATTAGTTAAGGTTTAGATTTTACAATTTAAACGAAATTATATATCGGTTTGAATTTATAAAAGAGTTGTTAGGGTTTGGATTTTACAATTAAAACAAAATTATATATCGGTTTGGGTTTATAAAAGAGGTTAGGATTTAGATTTTACAATTAAAACAAATTATATATCGGTTTGCGTTTATAAAAGAGAGATTATATGTAGACATATTTTGTTTCCATAATTTTTTTTTTATGATTTTTTTTTAAATATTGTCTTAGGTGGCATAATACTCTATTTTTATTGGTTAGAGTAATAGGAGGTGAACAAAGTATTTTTCTTTTGGTTATTGTATATTTTATTGAGAATGTTTTAGAAATACCCATTTTGGTGTACCCATTTTTAAAAATACCCCCTTTATCTATCCATTTTCAGAAATATTCCTGTTAAATATGAAAAATTATAAAATTTTACATGGACTATAAGGTTCTTCTATATAATTCCTAATATTGGGAAATTCGAAACAAATATTTTATAATGTTTTAAAAGGTTTTAAATCGTTTTTACAAGTTTTATAAGGTTTTTAAAAAGGTTTTAAAAGGGTTTATAAGGTTTTTAAATTATTATTTTTACGGTATTTATGAAAGTTATATAAAATTTTTATACACATACAAAGATAATTTGTGTGTATATTTATAAGCTTACACACATGTTTAGATAGATTTCAATATTTTAAGTGGTTTTTTTTTTATGAAGTTTGAAGATGTGGTATTTTTAACAAGTAGTATTTGAAAGGGATATTTTTTAAATTCCCCCTATTTTATTTATGTTTATTTGAAAAATGTAAGTCATTAAATAAATTAGTTTGACATGAAATAGAACTATAACTTACAAAATATATATATATACATAAATATTGCTTTCAAATTTGTTTTGTGAATTTTAATTTTATTAACTAGTTAAATTTGTTAAATGTTTTCAACTATTACACAAAATATAGATGTTTTCAAAAAGAAAATATATATATATATGTATATTTCATATGATAGACATATGATTTTTAATATTATTTTCTTCTCTCATCCATTAAATTAGTGTATAGAATTAAAATCTATTTTCTTATAATAAAATATATAGTTTAACTTAATTACAGAATAGGGCTTACAAGACTTATAATATTTTTTTTTTAATCAACCCAACTTTATAAAAGTCTTGAGAAAAGTTTCTTGCGTACACCAAAAGAGATAGTTTTGCAATAGAATCAGCCTCAACAATGGATGTTCCAGGAATAAAGCGACGACAAGAAAAAGAGTAATATTTGATGGGTATTCACCATCAAATATCCACTGTCCAGAAGCAGCTTCGTTTGTTAATTTGCCAGCTTTACAAGAAAACATCAAATCATCTATGAAGAGTACTACGTACTATTATACTGTGGGCTTCCAACTTAAAACCAATGGACAATGAATGGAAAGGCCCATATCTTATATAGTGATCTTACTCAACTTATGTATTAGGGATATTGTATCCCTAATACATACTTACAAAGTTTGTGTTGGTTATGATGAACAGTGGTGATCATGATATGGTGTTACCTTCCTTTGCAACTCAAGCATGGATCAAATCTCTCAATTACTCCATCGCTCATGAGTGGAAGCCTTGGATGGTTAACGATCAAAACGCTGGGTACATATTGTTTTATGTTTCTCTTGTTCATTCATTTTTCTCCACGTATCACATACTTATGAAACTATCTTTCTTTTGACAGATACACGAGGACTTATTCCAATAAGATGACATTTGCTACTATCAAAGCAAGTCTTCTTGTTTCGATTTAGAATTTTTACTTTCCATGGCTTTATAATGTAAAAATTAACTTTTAATTGTTTTGATCGTTTTAATAACAGGGAGGTGGACACACACCCGAGTATTTACCAAAAAAGACTTCTATCTTGTTCCAAAGGTGGATAAGTGGCCAGCCTTTGTGATTAAAAATTGGCCTTTGTCAGCTTTATGTCCTTTGTCTCCTTGTTTTTCGTTTTCTAGTCACTGCGTGATACTAAATAATTTTGAAGAGAAATCTCTGTTATTGAATCTCAGTATGACTTTTTGAGTTAAAACTTAAGTCCTATACAGTATTAAGTTTACTGATTTTTTATAACACAAGTCAACTAAATAATAGTGGATTGGCCTAGGGTCTGAGCATTCGGGTCAGGTATTTTCGGTTTGGATATTTCGGGGTTAGTGATAAGAAACCAAACAAGTATTTATAAAACTTTTGATCGGGTTCAGTTCTTTTCGGGTCGGGTGATAATGTTTGAGAAATAAAGAAACTAGCATATATATATATATGTACCTATAAATGAGAAACTAACATATATGTATGTATAGATATGGATCAAATCTCTCAATTAAGCCATCACTCATGACTGGAAGCCTTCGATGATCAATGATCAAATCGCTGGGTACATATTATTCATATTCATTTTCAAAAGATGGATCAGTGGCCAGCTTTTGTAATAAAGTTGCGCTATGCAACTTTTGTAATCGCCCTTTAACTCAACTTTTGAAGACAATATTATTATCTACGACGTACGTGAGTAATTGCGCGATTTGTTTGCTTTTATTCAGTTAAACTCATTAGTATACGAGCTCTTATTTATTAGTTCACATTTAGCAATTTGTCAAAATACAAGCATGCAAACGATTGAGTAATCTGTATAAAAATTTAAAAATAATTTCGTTGGCAATATTTTTTAAAAAATAAGGAATTTTTTTGAAACTATTTGGTCATAAAACGTTCAGAGTGTTTGCCCGAAAAGTTGAATATGACTACACCAAAATACTTATTGCATGTGAACATATCACATGGCATGATTGTTATTGGGTCAACTTAACGGTGGAGGGACCAGTGGATAACAAAACGCTTTCCTTATCGTTCACCACTAACTCCAATCATTAGAAACTAAGAGAAAATGAGATTAACACTAAATCTTCTGCTTCTGCTTCTGTTTATCTTGAGTCATCATCATCATGCTGATTCTAGCTCTATAGTCAAGTTTCTTCCTGGTTTTGAAGGCCCTCTTCCTTTCGAACTCGAAACCGGGTTTGTTTAAATCTATATTTTCCAACAATGTCTTCTAAGTTTGGAGTTTAGTACATAACTACTCATTCTTCTGAATGTAGGTACATTGGTATTGGTGAGGATGAGGAAGTGCAATTGTTTTACTATTTCATTAAATCTGAAAACAATCCAAAAGAAGACCCTCTTCTTTTATGGTTAGATGGAGGACCTGGAACTTCTTCTGTCACTGGACTTACTGTAGAGATTGGTAAAATCTATATCTTTTGCCTCTTTCTCTTAGGATTGTTTTCAAAGACTAAGTGGGGGATAATATTATAGGCCCTTTGACTTTGAAGTCGGAGGTTTACAATGGAAGTGTACCTTCTTTGGTCTCTACTACATATTCTTGGACAAAGGTAGCTGGAAGTATATATATATGTTTATATATGTCTATAACAAACCCAATGATCTATTATTAAAGTTAGGATCGTTTTTTTTTGTAGATGGCAAACATAATATTCTTGGACCAGCCTGTTGGATCTGGCTTCTCATATTCAAAAACTCCACCAAACAAAACTAGTGACACAAATGAAGTTAAGAATATCCATGAGTTTCTTCAAAAGGTTACAAGTTTTTTTTTACTCTTAAAGCTTTTGTTGCAATTCTCTTGGTCTCATTACTTTCTAAGTTATTTCCACCGAGCATGAGGTAACTAGTTAAGGTGTTTTCTTTTGAAAAAACAGTGGCTAAGCAAGCATCAACAATTTTACTCCAACCCTTTTTATGTTAGTGGAGCTTCTTATGCCGGTATGATTGTTCCGGCCGTCGTTGACATCATCTCAAAAGGTATATATGTTCAAGTAATACAATGTTTTGTTTTTATCTACCACATTCTAACAACAATGAAACTGTGGTGCAGGGAATTATATATGTTGCAATCCTCCTATAAATCTACAGGTCATTCATATTTGATAATTGTGTCTTATATATATTTTCTCCAACATTTAAAAATTTTGTGTTGCATAAAACAGGGTTATGTGCTAGGAAACCCGGCAACACATTATGAAAAGGAAATAAACTATCGTGTTCCATTTGCTCATGGAATGTCATTAATCTCTGATGAACTCTATGAGGTATGATATTTTCTCATAGAATGACATTAGCCTTTTTTTTTTTTTTGGGGGGACAAATTTGAAAGCCTCAAATGATATATTTTTTACAGTCAATGAAGAAATTTTGCAAAGGAAATTATTTCGATGTGGATCCAAGTAACACAAAATGTTTGAAACTTGTTGAAGAATACAATAAGGTACACACACTGTAAAATTGGTGATACCTTTCTTCTTTTCTTTTTTTTTTCTCTAATTTTCAGTTTTTGTTTTTGGGTGTGTTTACAGTGCACTGAGAAGATAAACCAAAATCATATATTAATACCAAATTGTGATGACAGGATTACACATAATACATCTCCTGATTGCTTTGTAAGTAGTACAATTTTCTCTCCATTTATTGATTTTATTTGTTTCCTCTCGTTTTCTATCAAATTTTTTAGTTAATCGAAAACTAACCACAAAAAAGAGCATAGATTATTTTTTTTTTTTGAATAATCAAAGAAGTTCTAGGTCGAAGCCCATACATCAAAAAAAGAGCATAAATTGTTTACCCTAACAAATTTCGTAATTACTTTATTATGATCAAAGTCCCAAGTAAATATGTAAGTAAATATGTTAATCTAACTCTGGAGTTGCATGTTAATCAATAAGTGAAGAAGTAGTTTTCTCTACACCTTGATTCTACAATCTGTTTAGTTTAGTTATTAAAACTAGGTATCTAACTAAAATAAATTAAATGAATTTTATTTACAAATGGAGTTTTTTTCAATAATCAAAACAAAAGAAACCAAGTCATTTTATGATATTTGAAACTATAAACTTACAAGGTTGTTTTTGCAGTATTATAAGTATACTCTTCTTGAACACTGGGCAAACAAAGAGACCGTTCGCAAAGCCCTTCATATTAAAAAGGTATTTGCAAAGCTTGATTAAAGATATCATTAATCAATTGATATAAATCTTGTGACAATCTATGAATATCAGGGGAGCATAGGAGAATGGGTGCGACATAATCATAGCATACCATACGATAAAGACTTTATAAGCAGTGTACCATACTATATGAACAACAGCATCAAAGGCTACAGGTCTCTTATCTTCAGGTACTTTTCCAGAAATGATTCGTTCCTTGCACAAAACTACAAGTAAGATGTGGACAACACATTTACAACTATAGAGATCAAACCAGTATTTTGAAACTCAGACCGTATCCTTTAGGTTTATAAAACACTGACTATATTAAGACTTTTAGGTTAGTTTAATCAGAGAAAGTTTGTAGTTACGTTAACGTTATAATATACAAATATAGTGTTTTTTTTTTACTTGAGTTTATAAAATTTTGTAATTACTTCATGAGAATATTAGTATTTGTATAACTTATGCTTTTTATTTCCTAAATTCTAGCTTATAAATGAAAGCTCGAATAAGACTTGAAAAATGAGGTAATAGGGATTAATTTTTCAATTACTCGATGAAAATGTTTGTATATTTTTATATTTTTTTAAAGAAATTCTAACTCATTTAAAATCACTCTAATATGAAGTAAAATATTTCTTATGAGATTACAGTATATATAAAAAACATATGTAAGACAATATTGGTTTTCTATAAAAAAATTGTGATTTTTTAAACTAATATTTTTGATAGATTAGTGTGTTGATCCTTATTCAAAATACTTACTCTAAATTTGTTCACTACTTACAAAATTTGTTCCGTTAATGGTGAAGTGGTGATCATGATATGACATTGCCTTCTTGTGCAACTCGAGCATGGATCAAATCTCTCAATTACTCAATCACTCATGATTGGAAGCCTTGGATAGTAAAAGACCAAATAGCTGGGTATATATATAGTTTTATGTTTCTCTAGTTCATACATTGTCTTGTGGTATCACTAACTTATTAAACTCACGTAAAAATATCATTCTTTTGACAGATACATGAGAACTTATTCCAATAAGATGACATTTGCTACTATCAAAGCAAGTTTACTGATCATTTCAACTTAAACATTTTTATTTCCAGTGTATTTGTATTATAAAGTGTTTTCTAATTGTTTTGACTATATAGGGATGTGGACACACGCCAGAGTATCTACCAGAAGAAACCTCTATCTTGTTTCAAAGGTGGATCAGTGGCCAACTTTTGTAATAGATCTCTCATAGAAAAATTCTGAATAAAAATGCAAAATGTAATTCATAAGAGAGTTGAGTTAAACTCGTTTATATATATGAACTCTTATTTATCAGTTCAAAGCTCTCAGATAATCTTTATCATAATTTAATAAAGTTATTCACTAGAATTAGTCATCTGTCAATTATAAGTAGGTAAATGATTTAGTAATATAAATATATACATGTTTACTCATTCTTCAGTATTTAACGTAAGCCGTAAGATGTTTGGAGGTATTTGCCACAAATTAAAGCCCACAACACATTGTAAGACGTCGTCAATGTGCAAGGCATTAACGAATATAGACATAAGTTGGATATTTGAAAGAAATAATTTTATTTTTAAAAAGCTATAAATTATTTAAATCCAATTTCACAATAATAGTTATTATCTAGAAGTATCTCATAAACCATAAAAAACTTTCTAATTTTTCAAATTTAAACATGAATATTTTTGAATATGGATAGACAAAAAAATAGTTTTAGATACTTTATAAGATACTTTTAGATAATAACAATACTTAAAAGCTATTTTTATTTTCTCTAGTTTTCAAGTTATAATTATATTCGTTACAAGTATCTATAGATATCGAATTTTCTATCGGTAACTAAAGTATGTAGATTTACAGAGCGTGTTTTTCTCAAAAATATCCATTTCATCTTTATATATATATACTAAAGTACATATACTTAATCTAATCACATCCTTTACAAAAGATTTTGCGATTGTAATATATATTCATGCATGTCAAAGGGGTATATGTACCCCTTCAGGTTTACCCAACAAGACTAATACCCGTTCGGGTTTTTTGAATCTGGGTATTTTTTGTGCAGACTTTATTTAACACTTATAAAAACCACAATATTAGGTATAAACCAATAAAATACAATGCAAACATATTTGATGAATCTGTATTATATAATAGTAATCAATTCAGAAAATTTAATATGATAAGTTAGATATTAAATTTTCTATATTTATTTTGATTGGTCAAGAGTAACTAAAAAAAGTTTAGTAACTAATGTTTTACTAAGTTCTAGTTATATGTATCTATCTTGTAAGCTAGTATTCCCGAGTTATGAGTTGAAACCAACAGTCAAAGAGATGATGACATTGGTTTTAAATACTATTAATTTATGGGGGGGGAATTAGGTCATGTGTCTATGGGGAAATGAAGAAAGAAGAGAGAGTATGAGTAGTAGGCAACACAATAAGCAAATTGAGGGGAGACTACTTTCTGAATTTATGTATGTAAAGAAGCAGTTCCCAATAATTAAATCAATGATACCAATTTATATCATTAGTTTAATTTAAAGATGAAAGAGGTAATTTTCAAAAAATCTCTTAATGAGTTTAATTTAAATTATAAAAAAATTTATTATTATTTATTATTTTAAATAATGACCAGTCAAGATAAACATAAAAGATTTAATATCTAACTTATCATATTAATTTGTTATTAATTATTATAATTCACCTTTCATCTTTGTTTGATTCTGAAAAACAGACAACTTGTCATATCATTCATATAATAATAAAAATGTAGATTTCTTTCTGCATATGACATGATTTAAATTTTTAAGAATGAAAATAAATTGTTCTACTTATAAAAAATGAGATTGTAACGGATCAAAAAATTCAAAATTAAGTTTATATATTATGTATAATTTTGTTAATACTTCAATAAAACATTTAAAAAATAATGAGTCAAAATTTAAATACAATTTTTAATTTATCTAGAACAATAAACTTTTAAATCATTTAATTTGGGATATGTAAAAATAATTTAAATAATATTTTTTCAGAGTGTCATTAAAATCTTAGATAAAAAATAAAAGTTACAAATACTCTAATTTAATATTTTCAAATAAATATTTTAAAATATTTATATATTTATTATAAATGACGAATTAACTGTAATGTTTTATATGATAAAATAAATTATAATTTTTATAACATACGCTGAAAATACCTATAATTAACATAACTTATCAAAAATTGTTTAAAAGTATAAATATATAAAATTATGTAAAAATATATAATCTATGCTATAACAAAATTACTTACATAGTTTGTAAAAAAAGATGAAAGTACAAAGACAATTCCAAATTATGACAAGGCCTACATTAAAAAGTTAATTCAATCAGACCAGAAAGCGATAAGTTCCAGATTTCTTTAATGGTTATTGTCGGAATCTACACGTGTCTCTGAGAAAATGGTGACAACGGCTCCTTTACGTGGAGCTAATAGTGATATGTATGTGTCACAGATATATACAATTATAATTTATTAAATAATTTAATAGTAATATTATATAAATATTCAAAGTATAAAACATTTCAAACTTTTAATCTAGGAACTGTTATGGATAAGAAAACTTTATCCAACCGTATATTATTGGTAATTATTTATTATAAAGAATCAATCTTTACAAACAAAGAGAGAATGAAACTAACTCTAAAATTGTTGCTTCTGCTTCTGTTTGTATTGAGTAATCATCATCATGCTGATTCTAGCTCAATCGTCAAGTTCCTTCCTGGTTTTGAAGGTCCTCTCCCATTCGAACTCGAAACCGGGTTTGTTATAATACATCTTCTTTTTTAATCAGTGCAAATTAAGTATGTGTTGTGAGTTTGGAGTTAGTAATTAGTCATTCTTCATTAGATACATTGGTATTGGAGAGGAAGAGGAAGCTCAATTGTTTTACTATTTCATAAAGTCTGAGAACAATCCAGAAGAAGACCCTCTTCTTCTCTGGTTAAATGGAGGACCTGGATGCTCTTCTAACACTGGCCTTCTTCTAGAGATTGGTAAAATTCTATATATATCTTTTTGCTTCTTGCTCTAAAGCCTTGCTTTAAAGTGGGTTACAAAATAAATAGGTCCGGTGGCTTTGACGTCCGAGGTTTATAATGGAAGTGTCCCTTCTTTAGTCTCTACTACATATTCATGGACAAAGGTAGCTGGAATGATATATATGTCCATCACAAACCCCAATGGTCTTCTCAAACTTGGGACCATTTTTGTAGGTTGCTAGCATAATATTCTTGGACCAACCTGTTGGAGCTGGCTTCTCATATTCAAAAACTCCACTTGGTAAAACTAGTGACACCAACGAAGTTAAGATGATCCATGAGTTTCTTCAGAAGGTTGTTCATTAAGGCTCTTGTGTGAATGTTGTATTTTTCTTGGTCTTTTATTCCAACCATGGTTAAGGACTTAAGGTGTTGAATTTTTTTTAAATAATATTATAGTGGCTAAGCAAGCATCCACAGTACTATTCCAACCCATTTTACGCTACTGGAGATTCTTATGCCGGTATGATTATTCCGGCCGTGGTCGATGAAATCTCAAAAGGTATGTTATTTAATTATATCAACATATCACTTTTATCACTCGTTCAAGTAATCACATTTTAACAATATAACAACTTGTGATGCAGGGAATTATATATGTTGCAACCCTCCTATAAATCTACAGGTCATTGATATTTGATAGTTGCTTCTTATATTATGAATATTTTCTCCAACATTTAGAATTTTCTTTGCCAAAAACAGGGTTATGTGCTTGGAAACCCGGTAACACATATCGAAATGGAAATAAACTATCGTATTCCATTTGCTTATGGAATGTCATTTATCTCTGATGAACTCTACGAGGTATTATATATTGTTACTAGAGATATAGCAATGGAATCACTAGAACGCTCTAAGTCATTTTTGTCATATACTCTAGTCGCTTTTATATTTCATCTATGATTTTTACGAACCGTGTCCAAACATTATTTTTTGCAGTCACTGAAGATATTTTGCAAAGGGAATTATTTCAATGTGGATCCAAGTAACACAAAATGTTTAAAGCTTGTTGAAGAATTTAATAAGGTACACAATTTGAAGAATTTGGTCGATACTTTTTTTCTCTCGTGGTAATATGCACTAAATCATGTTCTTTTTTGGTTTTTGGCTTTTTGCAGTGCACTGAAAACATAAATATCCATCAAATATTAATACCAAATTGTGATCACACAAATACAGAAGAGATTTCTCCTGATTGCTTTGTAAGTAATACAAATTCTGCGTATTCTAAGTATAAATTTGCATATATCTAAGTAACTATTTTACTTTTGATATTTTTGATATTTTGCAGTATTATCGGTATCATCTTCTTGAACGATGGTCCAACAAAGATAGCGTTCGCAAAGCTCTTCATATCCATAAGGTATTTGCAAAGCTTAGTTAAAGATCATTGATAAAAGTTTATATTAATCTAAATTTGAGACAATCTATGAAAATACAGGGGACCAAAGGACAATGGTTGCGATATAATCATTCGATACCATATGATAAAAACATTAAAAGCAGTATACCATACCATATGAATAACAGCATTAATGGCTACCGATCTCTTATCTTCAGGTAATAATAACTAAATCTATACTTTTCGAGTTGGTACATATTTACAACTATAGAGATCAATAACCAAGATTGTTCATTCCTATTTACAAAATGGTGAATAGTGGTGATCATGATATGGTGTTACCTTCCTTTGCAACTCAAGCTTGGATCAAATCTCTCAACTACTCCATCACTCATGACTGGAAGCCTTGGATGATTAAAGATCAAATTGCTGGGTACATATTATACATTCATTCATTTTTTCGCCGTATCACAAATTTGTTAAACTCACTTACAATATCATTTGTTGACAGATACACGAGAACTTATGCGAATAAGATGACATTTGCTACTATCAAAGCAAGTTTTACTCATTTCATCTCTAACATTTTTCTTATTTCCATTGCATTTACATTAAAAAGTGTTATCTAATTGTTTTGAGCGTTTTGACTATATAGGGATGTGGTCACACACCGGAGTATCTACCAGAAGAGACTTCTATCATGTTCAAAAGGTGGATCAGTGGCCAATTTTTGTAGTAGAGCTTTATACAAAAATTAGTAATAAAAATGGAAAACATGAAATTTGAGTAATTAAGCTCTCCGCGATTGATTCTTTCTATCCGAGTTACTCAATCGTTTATCTTCTTATACTATTTCCGAGTTAATTCATCAAATTGTTGAGAGAATTGAGTTAAACTAGTTTATAGTATATGAACTCTCATTTAT